AGCATCAGCTAACTTACCCCCTCCTCCCCTCTCCCCGTGACAGAAAAAACATCAATATTGATGGTTGACAGATGATTTCCATCATTCATTACGGTAGAGAGTGATTGAGCTGGCAATACATAGAGATAAACCAACATACAAATGACTTTTCGTCCCAAACATCACAAAAAACTCTCTAGTAGGAAATAAAGCTCTTTTACATTCTTGTGAACTTCATCCACTTTCCTAAGACTTCTGCGCAAAAATCCACTCTGCTAAGCAAAGGGCTTCGTTTTAAAATAGGGTTGTAGGATGTTCCAGTTTTTTGCATGTTCTAAAAACGCGTGTGTCGAAAACTGCTGACATTAATATTTATGTATGTCGTCTTTGCGGTGACAAAGGTTGTTCAGATCTGATTGTCCAGTCCCACTTTTCAACTTTGCAAAAAAGACAGATGGAGATTTGCAAAGGAGAGAACCTACATGAAGTAATAAATTTTTTCTGCTTTACGCGGAAGTACAAAAATAGCGCAAAAGTATGAAAAAAAAATCAGAAAGTCAACCCAATTTTTTGACAAACAAACGAATTCGAACAAAATATTTCAGATTCAAACAACAGCTCCTAATTATGTAAATCGGAATTTTCGCTATTTTGACAGTAACTTGTAGACCAGTTCTCGAACTGGAAAAGAAAAAAGATGCACATGCTGACATTGTTTATATTATATTATTATTGTTACTCTTATTCAGCTTTTTTGTTCGAGCTATTTTGCAACAGGATTGGAGGAAACAAACCAGAATCCAAACCTAATCAAAAACTACTATAAATTTACTCAACAAACCTGATTACGCTGATCGCTGTCATTTGCTAGAGCCGTTTGAAGCGCTTTCTTATCGGCTGTCAATTTTTCGACCATCTTTTCTCCTTCGGCAATTTTCTCGTCCAAAGAAATGACAACCTATAAGATTGAAAATAAACTATTGAAAAAGACGTTGACTGGGCAATTTTCCAACCTTTTGATGTCTCCGGCTCATTGCTTCCAGTTCGGCTTCATGTCTGGTTCTTTCATCTTCTAGTGCCCTGTCATTTTCCTTCGCTTTCTCAGCCAACTAAAAACAAAATAATTTGACTTCCACATTTCTTATATCATTTTTGATTTCCATAGCTTTTATGTGGTTCAAGGATCACCGCAAAAGTCGTAAAAGTTGACGCGCCTAACATTTAATGGGCCATTTCCTGCCTATACAAACAATCAAACTTCATAATGCGAGTCAATAATAGCACTATGAAAGCTGCGTCATGAAAGTCGAAAAAAAATCTATTCAAAGCATTGAATGAAACCGCTTAACCGACTATCAGCTCAGCTAGTACAGTAACCCACAAATTTATAATGGCTCATAAAGTAGCGTGATTGATGATGGATTGAGATCTATCAAAGCCATAAAATTGCTAGTCGTTCCACTAATAGAAGGGCTGGAACCAAGAATGGCGATTTTTTGACACTCTACTACGTTTGACAACAAGCCAGTCAATATCCTATTCATTTCGGAATTTTTTATTTATTTTACGACTCTTTTAAGTTCCATTTTACGAGACAAACATTACTGAGAATACGACTTTCACTTTCAACGGAAATAGACTTATATGAAGTTTCCACTACAGAGGGACACTTCACCCCGTAGGATTAGTACTTATAGCTCCTATGAAACCGAGAATTTAGCAATAAACGCAAAAGAAAAAAAAAATAAATGCAAAAAGTTAACCAAAAACAATTCAACAAATTACAATTTAATTCATTTTCTCAAAATCCCTCAATCGAATTTATCTCTACATTGTAATTGAAAGAAATGCAAAGAGCAAATTATGAAGAAAAAGAGTGAAAAAGAAAATCTGTAATGTTACACAAATTTTTGCTGTAAAATAGTGTTCAAAATTAGCAAAAATTCCCGTTTCACAAAGTGTTGATCACAACAATTAGTAAACTGCGCGCAGTACCATTAACAAGTGTGAGACAAGAACAAGAAACGCTGCTAAGGCAAACGCCATAATTGACCCACTTCCGCTTCGCTATTGGTCAAA